TAATCAACCAGTAATTGAATCAAGTAGGGCATTTAACTAGTTGACAATGAAAAACAGATTCCATGACCCTATCACCTATAGGAAAAACTCTTTGAAAACAGTCACTTAATTATGTCTTCAGATTTCCAGATGTTCCCTACTCCCTGTAAAACATCGTGGTGACAACTCACAACTGTGAGCCTGGGCCCTTCTGCTCCCATGGGTCCAGTTAAATGGCTAAGTTAAAAGTCACTTGTGTTTGTCAACCAATTTGTTCCCATTATAGTCTTCACTACAGTGGCACAATAAACATAATGAAAAATTTTGCAAACAGATATATAAGTGCAGAAAGAAAAAAATTGTTATTTCTATGGAAAATAAGTCAATACTCAAAATACTGTAAAATGGGAAGTTGTTCAGAAAATTGTTGAATTACATTGGAGGAGGACAGCTATAAAAGAGTGAAGGAGAAAAATCAGAAAAAATCTTAGCTTACTCAGCTTACTTTACAAATACCTTGAAATGTTTATTTAAAAGAGCAAAACAATCATAGCAATGAGTTACAGGTGTGGTTTTTGCAGCTTCTTCTCAGTAGACTCTTAAAAGAGAACTTGGCTGCCATTAGAAGATAGGAGAACGGGTACACATTTGAAATTTCAGGGCAGAGCAAAACACTCAAGAATGTGTATAATTTTTTTAAAGCCGGGCACTGGCGGCTCACACCTGTAATCCTTGCTACTTGGGAGACTGAGATCAGGAGGATTGAGGTTTCAGGATAGTCTGAGCAAATAGTTCTCAAGACCCTATCTCCAAAACAACCAGAGCAAAATGAACTGGAGGTGTGGCCCAAGAGCACCTGCTTTGTAAGTGGGTGTTTTGCAAGTGTGAAGCCCAGGTGAGAACAAAAGCAAAATGTACATAATTTTTAAAATGAGTCTCCAGTTTTAACTAACTTTTTAAGCTAATCAAGAAAATGCACATGACCAAGTAAGTGCATGTTCAGTATCTGCTGGGTTGTACTCAGGGAGAGTCATCCTGGCCCCTTTTGTGCTGACTGGAGGAGTCATTTCTTGGGAGATCTGGTGCAAAAGAGCTGAGGTGGAATAGCAGGAACCTTTCCTGGGGGAACCGAAGAGTCAGAAAACTTTGGAGGCAGATAGCAGACACACCAGTGCTTTCTGATTCTCCAACACAGAGACCTGAGAGCCTAGAATCTCAAGAATCTTGCACCTGGTGCTGCCATTGGCTATAAACATGCGAGCCCAGCCGTCCCTCACAGAAAAGCAGAGCTAACACATTTGCTGAGGATTTAAGGGGAGTTCTGACTTTATTTGATGATTTGGGTCTTAAGCTGATTATAAAACCTTAGCTGCAGCATTTTCCAGAGGCCATTTTTCTTATACTACAAAAATGTAATAAATGAGGTATACCAAATGGGAGAAGTGAGTAGTACTTGTATATTTTCTTTAAAAAGAATAAAGTTTAAAAGAAGAAGAATATTCATATGTTATAGAATTACCAGCTTAATATCAAGCCATTTTTATAGGACTGTAAGATAGCCAAAAAGAAAGAGATGATACAGCTCCAGCTCTTATGAATAATTTCACCATTGCCTGTGGGTGTCCCTAGTTATTCAGCAGTCATGGGTAACTGCTGGAACTGACTTCAGAGCCCCTGGCCTCTAACCTTGCATTTGCCTCATCACTGTCTCTCTGACTCAAACATGGAAAACATCAGGTATAGTGCAGGTGAAGTAGGAGTAGGGCAGGAGGAAGGGAGGGGAATCTGTCCCAACAACTTCCACAAAGACATAGCAATATCAAAATAAGAGCCTCTTCCAGTCACCATGGATAAGTAACCATGGAAATGAATAATCCTGGTATTTTCTTTGTCTCTCTTATACAAAGAGTGGCAGTTTACTTAAAAACAGAAGCAAAATCACACATATCTACTGAAAATTCATCACAGAGTCACCCACACAAAAACAATGATGTTTTAAATGAGAAGTAGAAGTATTTTGGATCTGGTCTGAGAGCATTAAATAATTCATTAATTACTATATAGTACATTTATAGCTTTAATTGTCTTTCCCCATTGCTCAAGGGACATATTTCTTCCAGAAGCAGGAGGCTGAAGCAAACATTTGTTTTCATTGTTTCACAAGAAAGAAGAGGAAATACTCTGATTCTATGAAATCAACTGCCAGTGAATTGTGCCTAATTTATACCTTTGCCGCAAGCTGTGCCTTAGGGTTGGCCTAATTTTTATGTTTGCACTTAACAGAATAGAAAGTTATCATGAAATAAGTTTTTTAAAGTACTGATATACTTCCTCCCAAACAATATATTTTAGACAAAATTATTGACCTTTACCTTCCTTCAAGCATGCTATCTACTACTCAGGAGATGGTGACAGGAAGATCAAATTTGAGGCCAAACCAGGCAAAAGACTGAAAAGACCTTCTTAAAAACAACTTGGGACATGGTGTTTCCCTGTAGTTCCAGCTACTCTTGTGAAGTGGAGACAGGAGGACTGGGATCTGAGGCCAGCCCAGGCAAAGTTAGTGTGAGGCTCTATCTGAAAAACAAACTAAGAGCAAAAGACAGAGAGAGGCCTGGCTCAAATGGCAGAGTGCTTACCTAGCAAGTGTGGGGCCCCGAGAATACCATATAAAATCATTAAATATTAATTAATTATTAAAGCCAAATATACTTTATATGTACTCATGAAGGAATCTGTCTTTTTTAAAGATGACATTTCCTCATTGCAAAAAACAGTGCATATTTACTGCTTCTGAATATATGGAAACACACAAGAAAATATAAAGGAAAAATTAAACTATAATTTCACACCCAGAGATAAGCAGACAAGCATTATAAAATGTAAGAAACTCTTCCGGTGAACAGTATAATTCTTAAATGTTTTTAGATAGATTTTTGCTGTTTATCCCAAGCTAGTCTCAAACTGTCAAGCCTCCTGCCTGTGCCTCCGAGCTGGGATTTCAAGCATGTGTTACCACACCCAGGTTTTGAGAAAGTATTAAAAACTACCTTTGATTCCTTAATAAACACTTGTATTCCTCAACAAAAAGCTTAAATCTCTTGTGTAAGCATTTGATAGCAAACTTATGATGTGTGATTTAACATTTTTGTCATATTGAATATTAACAGTCTACAAGACTTTGTCGGATAAGCAACTTATGTAGAATACAATGTGATGATTTCAGACTGAGCCCTGGGACATTCTAGTACATACTATAGTGAAATGTATGATTTGGCTGCTGTGTATAGTTTAAGCAGGTCCCAAAGTGGAACAGTCTCTGAAAGTCTAGCCAAAGGAGCCCCGTCTGCAGAGGAATGGAAATGTTTCAAAGGCTTCTGTGAGCACTGCTTTTCAATTAAGGCAAGGCTCTCCTTTGCTTTATTTTGCCAATGTGAAGATTCCAAAGCTATGTTGGAATCCTGGGCATTGGTTACCATTCCATTACATTGACAAAATACCTGAGACAATCATCTTAGAAAGACCAAAGGCTTATTGAACCTCACAGTTTTGGAGGTTTCAGCATGGCCAACTGCCCCATCGCTTTGGGCCTGTGACAAAGCAATACATCACGATGGGGAGGGGGGAGGCGGTAGAGCAAATTGCTCACCGCATGGCTGGGATTCAAAAAGTAGAGGAGGAAGGGGAGGAGGTTCCATTATTTTCTCCAAGGGCAAGCCCCACACCCCTCCTGCAATGACCTAAGCCCTCCCACTAGCCCTGCTTCCCAAGGGTTCCACCACCTCTCAACAGCACCACAGGCCGGAGCCCAAATCTTCAATACATGAGTCTTTGGGGGGCATTTCAGAGCCAAACATCTACCATGTCTCCACATGCTGAAAATTAAATACTTAAATTATCTGGGGCCTTTTAGAGAAAATTATCTTGAATGTCAGAGTTTCAATTCCAAAGAGTACCTTGCAGATTGCTGCTGGTAACACCAAACAGAAATGTTTACTTTCCCTTAAAGTAACATCTAAGGACATATTTGTTATTCTCTCTCCCAGTGGAGGAATATAAGGAGAGTGTCAGAGAATGCACACACACACACATACACATTAACATATTCCCAACATGGTAGTCAAGTGTTTTATCATTATCTATTTAATACAGCGATCAAGACTTTTCATTTCTATACTCAACTACACTCACCCAAATACTTAAAGATATGGGCATCCTAGAGCTTTCTACATATTTACCATTAAGAATTCACTTGGGTGCAGGGTGCCTGGCGAAATGGCTCAAGTGGTAGAGTGCCTGCCTAGCAAGTGTGAGACCCTGCGTTCAAACCCCAGTACTAAGGAAAAAAAGAAAAAAGGCAGACTGGGCACTTGTGGCTCATGTCTGTAATCCTAACACTCAAGAGGCAGAGATGAGGAGGATCTCAGTTCTATGCCAGCCTAGGCAAATAGTTCATAAGACCCTATCTCAAAAAATACACACACACACACACACACACACACACACACGCAAACAGGCCTGGTGGAGTGGCTCAGGTGGTAGAGTGCCTGCCTAGCAAGCATGAGGCCTTGAGTTCAAACTCCCAGAGCTGCAAAAAACAAAAGAAAAAAGCATTCACTGGGAACTGGGGCCATGGTTCAAGAGGCAGAAAACCTACTTAGCAAGTACAAGGATCTGAGTTAAAAACCACAGTCGTGCAAAAAAATCACTGAATAAATATCCTATAGGCTTACTGGTAGTATATATTTAAACAACCAACCCCTGTTTGCACATATGCATTCAATGGAGTATCACTTCATTGCTTAGTAAGTAGTAATGAAAATTTTACAAAACACTGAATTAGAAGCAAGACTTGAATGCTGAGCTAAAAGACTCAGAATCCAAGAACTATCCCACCTCTGAGAATATGTTCAAGCCAAGAGAAACAAACAGTGCCTCACACGCACTGGGAGGAGAGAGTGAAATAAAGGGATCTTCAGCAACAGTGAGGCACATGCTCTGGATTCCTGAGCAGTGCTTACTTGAGGGCAGTTCTGTAGTGGTAGATTGCTTCCCTGTCCCGACCTTGGTCCTTCAGGAAGTTGGCGTAGTTGTAGTGAACCTTGGCATTGTGGGGCAGAGTCTGAACTCCAGACCTAAAATAAATACATTAGAAAAAGAATATTCTTATCAGATTCCTCACATACCAATAAAACAACTAACGACACACTGCTTTTATGGAAAACAATGAAGACCATGCTCAGTTGTGTACAAGTGAAAACATGCTAATTGAGAATGAACAAAATGTTCACCATAGGGAACAAGGTTTTTTTTTTTTTTTTTTACCTGCTAGAGAGACACCTGAAACCTGGGCAAGGTGTGGTCATTTTTCTAGAGGCTTTTTTCAGGAGTACAACAGGGCCCAATTACAGACCTGAGGGCACAGTGCATAAAGGCAAGAGGCAACCATGCAATTTTCAGGCCATTCTGACTTTCCTAATTGAGGGTGCAGTGGGCAGAAGATGCGATGCCACTGAGCTGCTGCAGTAGATGATGACAAACACTACCCCTTCTAGGGGGATTTCAGCAGTAGGCAAGCCCTTCCACTCTTTCATGCCCATCTTAGGGGAAGCTTTTTACTGACTGAGACTCAGTGAAGTGGCCTGTGTTCTCTGCGTCACAATGCAGAACTAAAGAAGGAAAAGATTCAATGGATTTCATAAAGTGAAAATACCCAGTCCATAAAAACAAGCCCCTCTTTGGGGCATGAGGTGTCCTTTGTTCCCTGCTTTCTTTCTCTGTGGTCTTTCCCTTCATTCTAGTTTCCTTGGAACCCATGCAAGCTGTGTGTGTGTGTGTGTGTGTGTGTGTGTGTGTGTGTGAAAGAGTTTCTGCTTCCTCCTTGGTGTGCACAGTTCTCAGGGCTGCCATGATGGATGGAAAACATTCCAGATGAGGAGTATGCTGGGGCTCAGAAAGGTCCTTAATTGCTCAACAATGGTGGGTGGTAAATTGTGCTTATTTGGGATAATTATCACATGTGGTCTAAATGAATGAAAAGGCCCTAGCAGAATTTTTACATTTCAGAAATTGATGTTTTGATAAAACTATTCTGATTTCTCTGAACTGCAGTAGATGGTACAATCACTAATGTCTATGTAGAGCACCCTCGGTGCCAGGCACTGTGCCAGATGCTGGAGGTCTAAGATGGTCAGAATCTCTGCCTTCAGGGAACTTAATGGGTTGAGGCACTACAGGCAATTAGGAAATATGGATGATGACAAAATGGCTCATAAGTTGAGTGGGGTATCGATAAATCATGGTAAGCTTATCCCAAAATGGGGATAAAGAGAATTGATTAGCCTCTGGGGAAGAGGCAGTAGAAAGTCCTAAGCAGAGGACTTGGAGAAAAGAAGGGGCTTTTGAGAGACTGAAAGAAATTCAGAAGTGTAGATCACAGAAGGACAATCTGAGAGCGGTGAGATCACACTGCACTTTCTGTTTTACATGATGAGTCAGGACAGGGTTTCAAGCATAGAAATAACAATAGTCGAACCTCTGAGAAGGACTGTAATGGCTGCTGAGTGGAAATGGAGTAGAGGAAGGAAAGACTGGAGGCTCTGGGGAACTGCGAAGAGGAGAGCAGAGGGAAGGAGGAAGGGTGAAAGGGAAGGAAAAATGAGGGAGCTGGGAGAGAGAATGGTCAGATTTACAAAAGTTGGTATAGTGAGAAGACACAGGAAGAAGAAGCAGCAGGTAGCTGGATGTGCGATGGGTGATTTTGATTCCTTGGAGAACAACCCTGCATGTTCAGGTCTATTTAGTTTTTTCCTTCCTTCCTTCCTTCACTTATAACTTTCTTTTTTTTTTTCTTTCCCAACAATTTGAGATTATCTACAAAATGGATCATTACAAGACAATGGTCTCCCTGTTGATGAGTTTTATTGGTAATTAACATTTCTCTACACTAAGTCTAGACTAATTAAAAAAATAATGCAGGTCTAATTATTTCACAGATAAGGAAATGAAGATTTTCTCAGAAACATTAAAAGCCTTGCTCAAATGGTCACTGTATTGATTTGTGCAGTCTGGCATAATAAAATATCATCGAATGATTGGCTTGAACATTAAGAAATTTGTGGTTCTGGCCAATTCAGCTTCCTGTATGGGCTTCTTCCCTCAACTGTTAGATGACTACTCTTTAGCTGTGTCTGCACATAGACTTCCCATTGGGAATATGGGAAGGCTCTGGTGCCTCTTCCTCTTCCTATAAGGGCAGCAGACCATGGCTTCTTCCTTTAGCACCTCCCTCATGGATTCTGTCTCCAAATATGGTAAAATGGGAAGTCAGAGCTTCAACATATGAATTTGTGGGGTCATAAACTGTCAGTCCATAAAAATCACAAAGCCCCAGCTCTTAACCACAAGGGAGGACATAAGGCTCATCAGCCAGCAGCAAATGATAAGGCTCTCCAAGTGCCAAGTGCCTGGGCCTGAAGGTTTCACTTTCCTCTGGATGTTTACCCACAGCTGGGACATCTGCCTAGATGACCCCTATAGGGTAACACCAAAGCTTTGAGGATGACACAAGAAGGGGTAGGTCAGGACAGGATCCATTTGTCAGCCTTAGCCACCCCACAAACTTAACTGGTGTTAAATCACAGAACTGGTAAGAGGCAGAGATGGGATCAAACCTAGGTTTTTGGTTCTAGATTCTGATGAGGAGGAGGATGAAAAGATGGGCATTGTGGGTATTTGGAAAGAAAACTACTGGAACTTATTTTGAGAAAGGGAAATAGTTGACAAGAATGAGGAAAGATTAAGGATGAGAACCCAGTTTCTGGAAACATAATATACTATTTCTCTTAGACAACAGATTTTCATTTAATTTTTAATTTGAAGGTAAGATTAATAGGGGGATTCCACAAAGAGTGTTAAAACCTGTTGCTTCTATTAGGGCAATGTAATCTTTGTTGAATTTCGGTTGAAATAACAGCCCCTTTGGGCTTAGCAAAGACTGCTTAACTTAAAACCCATTGGCTGGGGCTTGGGAACTCTCCAAAAGAGACCTGGGGACCATGGCGAGCTAGAGACAAACTCAAGGACACAGATCACTGGAAAGCAGCAGAACCCAAATGTACATAGAGCAGCTTCAGTGACGTAAATGCGTCATAAGGAGCAGGGGTACAGGCGTGTCTTTGAGGCACTGATTTCATTTGCCTTGGCTATGAACCCAGTGGGGTTGCTGCATCATATGGCAGTTCTATTTTAGACCTTTTGAGGGATCCTCATACTGTTTCCAGTAATGGCTGTACTAATTTCTGGATATTCCCACCAACATTGTGCAAGGGTCCCCTTTCTCCATGGCCTCGCCAGCACTTACCTCTGGACCTTTGATAATAGCCATTCTAACAGATGAGAGATAACATCTCATTGTGGTTTTGATTTGCATTTTCCTGACGACCATTTTTGTGTCTTTAGAAAATATCCACATTTGGTTTTTGCTGTTGAGTGTGAATTCCTCTTATGTTTTGGAGATGAAATTTTTGCTGCGTATATGGTTTAAAGGTATTTCCTTTGCACAAGATGTCTTTCATTTTGGTTTTTCAGACAGGGTTTCACTATGTAGCCTGGGATGGCCTTGAACTTGAGATCCTCCTGTTTCAGCCTCCCAAATGTTGGAATTACAGGCCCATATTACCATAACCAGATGCAGAAGCTTTTTAGTTTGGGATATAATAATCTCAGTTATTTATTTTTGCTTTTGTTGCCTATTCTCACCTTTCATTCATGATCGCTAAGAAATCATTGTCAAGGTCAATATTAAGTAGTTTTCCCTTTTATTCACAATAATCTGGGTATGATAACGTAAGTGTCTGTGAATGGATGAATGGATACAGAAGTTGTGATATATGCCTAGACTGGAATATCATTCAGCCTTAAAAAAGGAAGTAAATGTCATTTGAAACAACATGACTGACTTGGAAAACAAGCTAGATGAAATAAGCCAGACACATAAAGAAAAATACAGCATGATCTCACTTATGTGTCAAATGTAAAACAATTCAAACTCATACAAGCAGAGAAAGAATGGAGGTTACCAGAAATAGGGACAGGAAGGAAATAGGGTGAAGTCGAACAAAGGGTACAAACTCACAGCTATACAGGTTAAGCCTAGACATCCAATTACTGAAAATTCATGGACAGAGCAGATTTTAGGTGCTCTTATTACAAAAATGGCAGTAGGAGAAGTGATGGATGTGTTCAATTGCTTATCTGTGGTGAGCACATCACTATGGATGCATATAGCAAAACTCCTTTAATTTACAGTTAGAAGGAGGGGAAGTAAAAAGAGGGTGGAAGAAAGAAGCTTGCTTCCTTTTTTGTTCTTCTTTATTTTATGCTGTGGCTAAAAGAAGTAGAAGTAAATACTGTAGAGGTTGTTGATGAAACTCTGGATCACTGAAGAAAACCTAGGGAGAATCAGCAACACCCAGTGTTCACACCAACTGAGGGAGGCATGGTGGCTGAGGCTGGCGTGGTGGCTGAGGGTGAATGGTAACAGAAGGCTGCATCTTTCACAATGTACAGAAGCTACAGACTTAAAACAAAGGCACACCTACTGAAAGGTGGTACATGAACCTGACAAGAAGCCAACTCTAGGTCTTGTTAAGAGCAGATCAACCTCTGCCTCATAGTTCACCATTTACAGAGAATTTCCTCTGTGCTCACCATGTACACCTCAATGGCAGAGTTCCACACCTCTGAACTGGCTTCATAGGGGCTGAGACGGAGTGGGATCTGTGCCCTGTTCTCTAGGCAAAAACTGCTGCAGAAAAATGACATTTTCATGCTCCTGTGCACTAGGCAGGAGCCCCTTCCTTAGCTTCAAGACAGCTGGCTGGAGGAGTTCAGTGGCTAAGAAGAAACTCCTTCCCATGACACTTATGAGAACTTGTCACTCTGATGGTATAAGGAGTCAGAATTTCATCATCTCAAAGAACAGGACCTGAAGGACCGTGGATGACAAGTTCATCCCTGCTCTCTCCTCATCTTGCAGAAGAGAAAGCTGAACCTCAGAAAAGATCAGCGTCCCCTGTAGGTGACTAATTATTGTATTTGTCTGGCGACCGAGGGTATTTCCTATGTATACTAC